CACTAGGGAGATACAAACTATTAGAACAGTCAACCATCTGAGTTCATTGGGGCAGTCTTTACCAAACGACAAAGTTCAGCATAATCTGGAAAGTAGAAGGAATGAAAACAGAAAACAGGGAAGTGAAACAAGTAAACTCAACTGGCAATTGAAATCAATGATGTGAAAAAAAGAAAAAAAGTATATATATGAATGGAAAACCTTTGAAGAATAAGCAGTTGCATTCTCCTGCTGGGAGAAATAAAATCCCCTGCACAGCTTTCCTGACCTTTTTCTCACCAGTGCAGTTATCAGTGTTCTTAAAACTTGTACCTAATACACCTCTATGAACATCTTGTGTCCTTTGAGAAATCTATCAAGATTGCCCAGATTACCCCTTGGGTAAATCTACAGAGACAGTAAGTGCACTGATACTTTCCTAGGGTTATAGCAAGAAAGACTGGGTTCTGGTGCACTAGAGAGCTGATAATGAATACAAGAATGTGTCCTAAAATTGATTGTGGTCATGACTGTACAAGTCTTTTTAATATTTTTAAACCACTGAACTATATGATATGTGAATTATATGTAAATAAAACTGGTTTCCAAAAGTTTAAATACTCTTTTGGGATTCCAATAAACCAGTGGATCTCCGAATGGCTAATGCCGTGATCCATTAATACAGTTCCTCATGTTGTGGTGACCCCCCCAACCATAAAATTATTTTCGTTGCTACTTTATAACTGTAATTTTGCTACTGTTATGAATCGGGCAACCCCTGTGAAAGGGTTGTTCGACCCCCAAAGGGGTCACGACCCACAGGTTGAGAACTGCTGCAATAAGCCTTCGGGGCTGACCACTGGGCTTTGAATTTTATTGGCCGTCCAGCAAATATTCTCAGAAATCACTCTTTTGTTTGAACCTTTTTTAAAAGGCTATCTAATGAAACTAAGACAAGTGTATTACTGAGAGACATTGTCTATCCGCTGATCACAGGCACATGTTTAAACATGTTCTGTTTGCAATAAATTCATGCCAGTATGAACTGAAACTCTATTGATAATATTTTTTGGCTTAGGCTCATCAAAGAAGTTGACCAACTCTTATGCTATTACATTTTAAGTGAATAGAATGGTATCTATAAGGAAAATATTTCAGAAATGAATAAATTAGTATGGTCACAACTTAAATTCACAAAACACACTCACTGCCATCAAGTCGATTCCAACTCATAGCAACCCTATAGGACAGTTCCTAACTGTCCCGGTGGGGTTCCAAGAATGTGAATTGCTACTGGAGCAGAAAGTCTCATCTTTCTTCCATAGAGTGGCTGGTGGTTTCAAACTGCTGGCTTTGCAGGTTGAGGAGCCCAATCTGTAATCTGTAATCCACTCCCAGGTCACACTCCAGGTTAATGGAATCTACTAAAGAGAAAGCATCTACCAATTTTAAGTAGCTTGCCTTTCCTTGAAGAAATGTAGCTTTAAAAGGGGCTGAACCAGAATTTGAACAGATTATGTGATGTAAAACCAAACCCTGTGCATTATAAAAAGAACACTGGTGCAACAGTAGTTAAGTTTTAACTGCTAATGGAAAGGTCAGCACTTTGAACTCACCAGGCACACTATGGGAGATGTGGCAGTCTACTTCTGTAAAGATAGCAGCCGTGGAAACTCCATGGAGCAGTTCTACTGTGTCCTATACAGTTAGCTATGAGTTGGAATCATCTATCTCTATGATAACGAGTTCCACTACAGAATACCCTATAATAATTCACCAAATTAGGTGTGTTATCATTCTGAATTTACTATTTTATTCTCAGTGTGAACACAAGTAAACACTTAATTTCTGCATTTCAGATTCCTTGCAAGAAAAATGAAATGTAAAATTTCCTGACTTCTAGAAATGGTTAGGTTTCACAGCCCAGGTAGTTACTCAAGAATCGGCATTATGCGATAATGGCAAATGATCACATCAGGTCACCAAAGGGAGCATGACTGTATCATTACAGAACTGCCCAACCACTAAGAATCTTAGTCCAGCCAGGTTGACACGTAAGGCATGTGTGGCATGCTTTGGCTAAATTAATGACACCATCAATAGAATTACCTCATACCCCAGAAGGATGATTGATAATGTTCTCTATTATCAAATGATAACCATGTTTCTAAAGTGAACCAGAGACATTATAAACCATAGATAAATGAGTGGATTGGGGGCTTACACTTAATTCTAGCCCCAATCTAGAAACAATTAGTTCTTATGACATGACCCTGGCTCAATACTTGCCCCCATGAAGAGATCATTGAAGATATGAGTGCTATAGGAAAGTGTGAAGAAATCAGATGGTGCCTGGCTATCAAAAGGAATAGCATCTAGGATGCTTGACTTCAAACAAGCAGCCATTTATCTAAGAAGTGAACTCAGTCCTCATGGAAGAAACATACCAGCCTATATGATCCAAGGATTATAAATAAAACCCAAATCTGAAGGAAGGAATGGTATCAGAGTTTAAATTGTGAACACCTGGTTTTTAGATGGCTATGAAGACAGTAGAAGCCCAAAATCTATATGCATGGTCCCACATGAATTACGCCTCTGGTGAATTCCCTGTGTTCATAGTTCAGGGATGTGAATACCCTTGCTATCAGACAGACCACTGTAAAGTTGATTATGGCAGATGTACTTAGGTTAAAATATAATACTTTATCATTCAATCTCCCTTTTAACCCATTTTAAAGTTGTTTCAGGTTAATTATTTCAGAAAATATTCATATTTTCTGCTCTCTTTTTGATTGAGTTTTTTCTATGTTTTGTCTAGTAATTATTGTTGGGTTTTGTTTATTTGCTTCCTATTTGTGTTTTGTACGATTTTCTGAATATGAAATCCAGGATCGGTAGAGACGGTGATTGGATTCATAACTGCATAGGGGGGCATGGCATGGGAGGGCTGGAGGGTGGGGGGGATGGGGAGCTAACAATGAGTACGAGAAGAAAACGAAGAAATTGATTGTGGTGATAATTCCACAAATCTTAATATGACTAAATGATTAAATTATAAAATATATGATAAAACTTTTAACAAAAATAGATTTACAGTCTGGGAAATCTCTAGGGAGCAGTTTGACTGTCCTGTGGGGTGGCTGTGAGTCAGAAATCAACAATGTTCTCATGACTTGCTAGTTACATTCCCAATGTGATTGAGAGGTCACTCTGTGCCATGGACATCACTGGGGCAGGGTCTTCCTCCCTTACTCACTGTCACCCAGTCAAGTCTCTGAATCACGGTGAATGTACAACACAGAACATAACTTAACAGGAGTAGAAATCCTCATCTTCCTCCCAAGTAGAAGCCTTTGGTTTCCAATTGCTGACCCTATGGTTTGCTGCCTAACATACTATGCCACCAAGGCTTCACCTGTGTTGTACCTTCCCACTGCACCATCACCTCTATGGAGATGTAGTAGCCACAGATTTTTTTATTCTGTCATTTTTATCCCTCTAATAATTCAAAGCACTTTTATGTTCCAAGATAACTTAAGGACAAAAAAGATTATTGCTCTAATGTTCTCTAATGGGTAAAATTGTTTGTTCATACTTTTAAAAACACACAAAACACAAAGAGCCCAACAATGACAGAACGAAAAAGAAAAATCTCAATGGAAAACAAACAGAAAATATTTTAAACTGGAGCAATTATACATTTATACAGGAGGGATACAATTATGCAAGAGGGAAATCAATGACAATGTGTCAGAATGTGGCTTGACTACATTTGCAGTAAAACACCCTACAATGCAATGTCTGGTGACAAAGCATTTCTCATCTCTGGTCCAGTCAGAGCAGGTTCACTACAGGTCTAATCCAGATGGGAGATCCTACAAATGGTTTTTGGGTTTTCAGTCTTCCACAGCCTTTTGCAAACTGGGTGTTCAGAATTTAAGCTATAATACCATTCCCTCCTCCAGGTTTTCATCTTATTATTCACAATCTTGGATCACATAGGCTGATGAGCTCCTTCTGTGTGGACTCAGCTGACACATTATTTGAATGGCTGATTAAACCAAGTTTTTAAGACTCCAGATTGTTATTATTTCTGCAGCTGGAAACCATATAATTTCTTCACCACACTTGCTAGAGCACTCATATGGTTCAGTGATCACTTCATAGGGGTAAGGTGTTGAGCAGGACCATGTCATAAAAACTAATTGTTCTTAAATTCTGGCTACAGTTAAATGCAAGCCCAAAATCCATTCATGTAATGGTTTAAATAGTCCTGGTTCACTTTAAAGGCATTATTATTTTGTTGAAGGGCATTATAAATTATCCCCAGGAAGCATATGGTTTCTGGAAAGTAACCTCTAGAGCAGTGGTTCTCACCCTTCCTAATGCCATGACCCTTTGATACAGTTCCTCATGTTGTGGTGACCCCCAACCATATTATTATTTTTTTTTTGTTTTTTGTTTTTTTGTGTTT